ATATCCTGTCACCTCACAGAGCCACAACGCTGTGTCTCAGAAATTCCCGCTGGTCCTTCAGGACCTGGCTTGAATGTGGCTTTCGAGGAGGTTGGATGTAATATTGGATATTCTCCTGTCTGCATATTCAGTTCCGTGAGTTCCTGGTGGTTTTTTTTAGGAAGAATGGGTGGCGGGTGGGGGGAGATCAGAGGTGTGCCACTCAGTCAGTTTTAGGGTCTTGGGATACTCATTCAGCCTCTCTTCAGTTTCTCTGTGGCGTGAAAAGGTTATATCCTACTTCGTAGGTTGTGAAGATGTGTCAGATTAACGTATGGTATATGCCTAGCACAGCTTGCCACAAAAGTAATGCTCCCCTGTTGGTTGTTGGGGGCACTTCCCGTCCAGAGCAGCTACTATATTCTAGATTTCCGTTCCCCGGAGTGGGGCTGAGACGGCTGGAGGGCAGAGCCTCTGAGCCTCACAGCACCTGGCTCAGCTGAGGTCCTGTGCTAAAGTAATCACCATTTAGATCTTCTCTAAGAAGACGGGACTTCTGGCCATCATAAGTAACAAACCCTGACCCTGGCCCTTTCTCCAGGCGTAAGGGATGCTGTGCTGTGGCTGGTGAGGTTTCTTTCCCAGCCTCTTCTCTGCATCCACCCTCCTGCCAACTCTTGTAGGGCAGATCCTAGCAGCCCCAGAAGGGAAAGCTAGAAGGCATGGGGGGGGGCAAGCAATGATGTTGAGGTACCACATCCAGGTAGATGAGAAAGGTCCTCATGCACTGAAGGGGATTCTGGGCCTATGTAAGGCTGTGCATGTTCTGTGTCTGGACTGATGATACTACTGCTCATAAGGAGCACTGTCCCTAAACGCCATGTCTAAGGCTTGAACTTTCTTTGCGTCCCATGCTGAGTGGCATACAGCAGGAGATGGTATACTGGTATTCACGGTCCTTGTGACCATTTCCTTCCTGAATCACCTTAGTCTTCCACAGCCTCGGTGCCTCAGACAAGCAAGGGGCAGGGACATAGTTCCTGTTTGCTGACTGAAGTAAAGAACAAATCCCTGTAATGGGATGGGCCAGAGGGACAGAACGGAAGAGGACTCGGCTCTGTGTTCTTGCTTGTGAGTTAGGATCCGTGGCACCCTACGGTTGCAGGCATCCATGTCCAAAAAACTAGCAAAAACGTTCTCCAGGTCTCTAGTTATCTCAGAATCTGCCTAACCCCATCAGTACCATCAAGAAGGGCTCATCCTTTAAAAAACATCATCTCCCAGGTCCCATGTCACTCAACCCACAAATTACTCCAGCCTGAACCTGCACTACTAGAAAGCCAGCCAGCCAGCCAGGTGCCCAGTTTCATGGAACCCTCCCAAGGATGCCTCTCCTGTCCAGTCCTCTCTCTGGGACCCTCACATGGTCAATATCACCCTTTAGTTCAGTTTTCCCCAGAAGACAAGCTAGGCTGGAAGTTTCTGGAATGTGTTTAATAAAGGCCCCTGGCACTAAAGGGAGATGTAGCTCAGTGGCTTCTTTAATGTGGGCCCAGGGTTCCATAGTAGCAGTAGGAGTATGATGGGGAGGAAAGCCCCATACCAGTGAAGGGGGCTCCAGAAGCCTGGGCACCCCATGCCCCTGCCCTGCCTGCTCCCTGGAGAAAGGTCCAGTCCCTCCTATTTTCCCAGCCGGGAATCCTGCTGGTTCCCACATTACCACATGAATGGGGCACATGCCCCCCTGTCCACTTGAGCAAACAATTTGGCTAGCAAATTGACATAATTACTAAAGACTGGGAAGAAAGAAGCCCCCACCCCTTGGCCCCCCAGAGGGTGGCCCCTGCGGAGTTCCTGCGGGCTTTGTAGGCTCGGGAGCTTGGGGCTGATTAGGGACCTTGTGGCCTTTTCAAGAGCCCTAAGTGATTGGTCCCCTTAATCTGATTACAATTTGCAGAGCCCCTCCAGCCGCCTCTGAAGGGCTGCTCTTGAGCACCCTGCTCGATCGGCCCTCAAGTACACACACACACACACACACACACACACACACACACACACACCCCGAGCGATATATTAGGCTGCCTATTTTTAAAGTGTCCTACATACATACCACATCCAGGCCAGAGCAGCTGTACCCACTCCTCCAGGCAACAACTCATCGTTCACCCACCCCCCTCCTCCAGGTGGCCTCTTTAGCACCCAGGACCAGGCCGCAGGACCCCATCAAGGGCACGCTGTCTCCCCCGCAGCTTTGTCTGGGCTCCTGGGCCTGGCTCCCAGGGGATTAGGCTCAGCAGGCAATCTGGACCAAGAACAGGCTGCTCCAGCCCCAGCCTGGGAACTCGGGCTCAGGGCAGTCAATGGCCCCAGCACTCCACATCCAAGTGCAAGCTCTTAATTCCCTTGGCCCAGCGACAATGGTGCCTTTTCCCATCCTTGCTGCTGCCTGTCACCAGCCTGGCTCCTACCCCAGTGTTTCTCTGCCTCAGCTAAATAGCCCCTCTCCCAGGAAATAGGGCTCCTATACATCTGTGGCGAAGGTGTGACCTTCACCTTGATGCAAACCATCCTTGGGGGAACCCCAGCCTGGAAGCCCGAGAGGAAGAGCAGTTTCGTGCAAGGACGCCACACAGTTCAGACCGTCCTGAAAAGGTGTAGACGGAAGGCTGCAGTCAGGGGCAGAGGCCCACGTCTCATCCATTCTTAGGAGACGGGTGAGGGGGAGGCGGGGACAGGCTAGATATGGAAATCCAGGCTAATCTGAATATTACTGTGAGACCTTCTCTCCCCAACCCATCACTGGGACCTTGAGTAGGGTGTTATGGTCTCTGGCACTCAGTTTCTCCACCAGTGAACCCGGAAGACGACGGCCACTCTCAGGGCTGCTGGAAAGTTAAATGACTGGCGCGCATGGGGTCTTCAGCGTGGTGCCCAGTTTAGCACTGGGTGCACACAGGGAATGGAACTTGAAGCGCAGCCATAAGATGTTGGCGGGGCAATGTGATGCCCGGCCCTGGTGGACCTGCGAGCTCCCTGGGAACCTTTACAATCCAATTTTCTGATACAATGCCCTAGTTCCACAGCGCTGTGATACCTCATTACGGCTCACACCTCGTTAAGGCTACCCTCTGCCCAGCTCGCTCCCAGAAAGGGGCTGGGAACCTCTTCCCAGGCGGCCTCCATATTGCCCGAGGGCAGAAGCCTCTCAGTCGCTTGTCTCCCTCCCACCCCCGTGCCCAAGTCCTGTGATCAGGAGATCAGGGGGAGCGTCACACCACAGCTCCCTCAAAGCCTGGCCCACCGTTGGCTTTCAGCAGTTTGGGAGATGGTGAACTGTGAGGACGCCCCTCCTCTTGAGCCCCTGGCAGATTCTACCCCCGTATCCTCCACAGACACCCTTCCCCCCGCCGCCCCCGCTCGCTGAACCCCCATCTGTGCAGCCGCTCCCAGACCCCAAATCTGTCCCTTGAGCCCTTCTCACACCTCATTCCTGCACCACGCCACCTGCACCCCGTTTTTGTCCCCTCCCAGACTCCGCCTCCGCACCTCACCACCTGCGCCCCTCCCAAACCCCGTCCCTGCACCCCGCCCTGGAGCTGCGGGGACCGGCTGGGCGGAACCGCGCGGCCGAGGGGGAGGGTGCCGGGCCGATCAGCTGGAATCAAAGCCGCCGCCCCCTCCCCCTCCCCCGCCACCCTGTCCCCCTGCCGAGCGGCCGCGCACCTCCTCCTTTGTCACAATGTTTTTCAATCCGGTGAAGCAAACTGTCCAATTAGAGCCGGGGCCTCCGGCTTCCATCTTTGCCGACGTTTAATTAACATGCTCCTCTTGGCAGCTGCTGACAAGTTCCAGAAACAGGTTGTAAAGGGTTTTTGTCTTTACCCAGCATGGAAAATAAGGGGTGTTACATCGCAGAACATGAATAGGTGGTACTCCAGCTTCCTCCTTCTCTCCTCCCCCTCCCCCTGCTCTGCAAAGAGGAACGGAGCGCTGAGTGTGCGTGCAGGAGCATGTATGTGTGTGAGTGAGTGAGTGAATTGCCAGGGAGGCGGGGAGAGCAGAGGCAGGAGGCAAGAGAGACCATCCCCTTCCTCTCTCTACCCCTTCCTTCCCAGGAACCTTGGCTCCACAAAAGATCTGGCTTTCCTTGCTCCCCAGCCTGTACACTTCCCCTCCCCTTTCTGCCAGCTTAAGGCAAACTCATCTTGATTCCTGTCCATGAGTTTTGCTCATGCTATGCCCTTGTTCTGGTAACTCCTAGTCATCCTCCACAACCCCACCAGGTCACCACCTACTTACTGACTGAGTGTTAAAGGCGGCCCGGCCAGCCCGGCCCGTAGCCTACCTGTCCATTCCACACCTGGTAATTTAAGGACCTGGAACTTTCCCCACTGTACGGCAGCAGAGGTCCTGAACAGGCTAAGGAAGGGGAGGATTAGGGAAATCCAACTGGGAAGGGATGGATAGAAATCCATCCCTACTGCCCAGCCTGCTGGGATGTACTCAGGCCAAGCTAGTGGCTTTCTCACCCGTGTGGGCCGCTTAACACAAGGGAAGAGGGGTGCTTGGTGAAAGAATGAAGTCCAGGGCCTGAGCTCCTGCCCCTTCCCCCCTCGACACCCCCCCCCCCCAGGCTGGATGAGCTTCTTGTAAAGACAGTGAACCTTTGGGCAAGGGTCAGGGCCAGGCAGAAGGGCAGATCCTCTGGGTCTGTGTATCCCTCCTAGGGGCCCTCCCAGAGCATTCACACCCAGTCTACAAAGAATATCAGCAACATTTATTTACTACACAAAACAGAGTGGTCTGGGGTCCCTGGGAGCATGGTTGGGGGACAGGCAGAGTCTGGAAGAATCCAGGAAGTGGTGTTCCCTGGGAGGGTCAAGCCGGTCCCTTCTAGCCCACCCCCATCCCCACGCCAGCCATTCTCCTTGCGGCTTTTCACAGGATGTGTGAGCATCCGTGACCCCAGGCAGGGGCAGGCCTTCTGCAGCTGACCCTGGCTTGGAGCTCACTTTGTCGGAATCTCCTCCATTCTCAGCCAAGCCCCCTGGGATGAAGGGGGTGTGGGAGGTGCTGGGGACAGACCAGCAGGCCTTTCGGCTGGCTGCCTTGCTCCTGAGTTCCCAGCTAGGTCGGCCCAGCTCTTTCCAGAGTGTGAGGACAGTCTGTGGAGCCTGCAGGGAGAGAGGGAGAACAGCGCGCATGTCCCTGCCAGGCCTGCCGCAGCCTCCTGGCACCTTTTCTTTTTCCGGATGAGGTGAACACCAGCAGCAATGGGCTACAGTCTGGCTGTGGTCACCTCTTAACCCTTCTCTCCTGCCTTTTACCCTAGACCCAGTTGCTCCCAAGTTCTGTTCTCTAGGGGTGACAACTGCTTATAAGATCAATGACAAGAACCTTGAAAGTCCCTAATTCCCCCACTTGTTAGCCACAAGGCTTCAAGATCCATCCTATGCTTTAATTTTGTCATCTTTTAAAAAGAAAGAAAGGGGGCTGAGACACAGCTCAGTTGGTAGCATGCTTGCCTAGCATGCACAAAGCCCTGGGTTTGAAGACCATCATTGTATAAACTGGCCTTAGTGGTACACATCTGTAATCCCAGCCCTTGACTGAGGAGGGAGGTTACTAAGTTCCAGGCTAGTCTGGGATATGAACAAGGGGGAAACAATGACCCTGCTTCATGGGAATCTCCCAAGGGTTGGCTAGACAGATGTTACAGCTGCCCATGGAAGCATTGTGCACTACAGAGGGGAAGGAGGAGGGAAGGCCTAGCCTGATCTAACCCGAGAAACTCTCCAAGTCACACAGGAGCAGCAGTCGCAAAGCCAAGTGTGTCCCTGGGTCTCGCTATATGTTCCTCCGGTGTAGCCTGCCTGCTCCACCTCAGGCTCAGGTGAGCGTGTACCTTCATTTCTTCATGCTTGCTCTTTGTTTCTTTGATATGGCATCTGGCTTGAGACATGGGCCTCTGTTGGAAGAAGCAGACCACTCCCCAGCACACACAGTTAAGGCTTACCTGCTTCCCACCTGCCCTGGGAGTCTAGTGTACCAAGGCTGCTGAAGGTATTGGAGTTGCTAAGGACACTGGAGGTGTTGGAGGGACTGGACAAATGGATGCTGAAGGTGATGGAAGGACCAAGGGTACCGCAGGCACCAGAGAAGAAGGATTCTTGTGGGTGAGATCCTCAGGAATGTAGACAGTGTTCACCTCTTCATGAATCTGTGGAGAGAGAAAGCTACTTCCAGCGTCCAGTCACAGGCAGGCCCCAGTACGCCTAGCAGAACTAAAGATGTTGGGGTGAGCCAAAGGCGGCGAATGCTGTGTGGAGAGTGTCACCTTGTGGTCACGTTGAAGATTACATGGTACGAACATGCCCTTCACAATTGGCACTGTCATGATTGGCACCATCTGGGGTGCTAGGGAACAGCAAGACCCACCAGAACAGTAGCTAGGTAAGCATGGGCTGACAGAGGAGCTCAGATCTCATTAGACTGGAATAAGCAGCTTGAAGGAACCGGGAGAGGCTGGGCCCATTTTTTGAGAGATAAAGAGTACGGCATATCAGAACTACAGCCATATCCAAAAGTAGAACATGGGAATGTAAAGACTGGAAATGGACCTGGGAAGGGAAGCACAGATGAGGCACCTTCTCACAGCTGTCACACCCCCTTCCTCAGGGAAGCAATCTCACTGCCCAGGTAGACAGCCCTGGAGCACAGGGACAGCCTTCACGTCCAGCAATTTAGATTTTTTTTCCTCCTGACCTAGTACTGCTGAAGTATCTATCTGGGAGAAAGTATGAACTGGCATTAATTACAACGGTCAGACAAAATCAAGATGTGCTGGAAGGTGCACTCAGGAGGACTGGAATTTGGATCCCAAACAAGCCATGTATCTGCCACATGGCAGGAGCCTAAGTTCTAAGAAGAGTGGAGACAGGAGGGTCGCTGGCTTCCAGCCCAGCTGTGAAAATCCGAGCCCCAGGTTCAAGGAGAGACCGTGCTTCAAAGGAGTAGGCAGAGAGTGACAGAGGAACCCAACACCATTTTCTTTTAAAACTATATATATATATATTTTTTTTTTTTTAATTTTATGTGCGTTGGTGTTCTGCCTGCATGTATGTCTGCTTGAGGGTGTCAAATCTTAAGAGTTACAGACAGCTGTGAGCCGCCATGTAGGTGCTGGGAATTGATTCACAGTCAGTGGTCGGAACTGCTGAGCCATCTCCCCAGCACCCTGACACCATTTTCTTTTCTTTTTTTTTTTTTTAAAGATTTATTTATTTATTATGTAAACAATGTTCTGTCTGCATGTATGCATGCCAGAAGAGGGCACCAGATTTCATTAAAGATGGTTGTGAGCCACCATGTGGTTGCTGGGAATTGAACTCATCACCTCTGGAAGAGCAGCTAGTGCTCTTAACCTCTGAGCCACCTCTCCAGCCCGACACCATTTTCTTAACACACAGGTGTGTACATCTGTGTGGGCACGCACGGGCATGCACTCAGACACATACACAAAGAAAGATGACGATAGACAGACAGATAATGATGTTACACTATATATATATATATATACATAGAGAGAGACCGTGAGAGGCAGTTCTGCTGGATTCTGGTATTTTATTTCCTGAAACCCCTCTAAGGCTGGGGTTTGGACTGACAGGCTAAACATGGTGAAATGTGGTAAAGCTCTGCCTCTGAGCCAGGCTCTCCTGGAAACTTGCCCATCTGTGGAGTCCCGGCTTTTCAGGATGAGGCCCTGCCGGCTGGCATCAGGAGGCAGTTTTATAAGGTGACCATTATGGAGTCTAGAGTTGGACACCACATTGACTCTTTCACCAAGGTGAGGCTCAGAATCACCTGGAAAGCTTTACAAAGCTTTACAGGCCCGATCCCTGCACCACCAGACCGTCACAACCCAAGCTGCTGGCCGGAAGTTCTGAGGAGCTCCAGCCCAGTGGTTCTCAACCTTCCTTAATACAGTTCCTCATGTTGTGGGGAGCCCCCAACCATAAAATTGTTTTGTTGCTACTTCACAGCTGTAATTTTGCTACTGTTGTGTACCGTAATGTAAATATCTGATATGAAATGCCTGTGAAAGGATCGTTTGACCCCAAAAAGGGTTTTCACCCACAAGTTTGAGAACCACTGCTCTAGAGGCTTCCCAAGTGACTCTCAGAAGCCAAGAACGGTAAAGAGCCACCAGCTCTCAGGTGGGGCTTCCGCCATAGTTACCAGAGAGGTGACCTCTTCCTCCTTCCTCCTCCTCCTTTTTCTTCCTCCTCCTCCTTCTTCCTCCTCCTTTTTCTTCCTCCTTCTTCCTTCTTCTTCCTCTTTCTTCCTCCTCCTCCTCCCTCCTCCTTCTTCTTCTTCAATAGGGCCACATATATCATACCAAACTCACTGTATATCTAAGGATGACTTTGAACTTCTGATCTTTTCTGAACTTTTGCCTCGGCCCCCTCCCTAGGCTAGGAGTATAAGGCGACAGTGATGCTGCCGAAGCTGGGGTCAGACCTTGGAAGTTTGCTAGACCACAGTTGGCTGACACTCCAGATTCCAGTCCCATGGCAGGCTGCTTCTGCGACGCCACTCCCAGAATGTGGAGAGAGAAAGGACCCCCCTTGGGGTCCAGAGGCGAAAGAAAGGAGGACAGGGAAAAGAGTCTTCAACTTATAGGTGGCCCTACATAGCTGTCACAGCAGGTGAAGACAAGGCAAGGGGGTACAGCTATCCTTGTGCAGAGAGACGGGTCTCTCACGCTTACCTCCCAGTAGACGGAGTCCTCGAAGCAGTTTTCATCAGCAGCTTGTCCCCAGAATGGCAATTTCAAAATAAGTCCTAAAGAGATTGGAGGACACGATGGTCCTTTGCTTACTCAATGTTTACCCTCAGCTTGGACTCCTTCCCACCCCCAAGGCTGACAACATAGATATCAGGGAGTCCAGGTCCACCTTTAAGACACGCTCAAGGGTCCCCCACTTGGTGAGTCTCCCACCAGAACCCCATCTTTTCTGGTCTAACCACTGTCACTCACCCACAATGATGCCGCCCACCAGGGCCATGGCCAAACTCAGGAGGAGGCCAAATATCTGGGACCTGCCTTGCATTTTCTTCGTGTCCTCCATCTTATAGCCCCCGAAACCAGAGGAATGGACTATCCTGGGGTAAAGACAGGAAGCAACTGAGAGCCGCATGGAGAGGCCATGATTACTGCTACCCCACAAGATGTGCTCTTGATCGCCTAGGTCTCTGCCTTCCTGACTAGATCGTTCTTTTCTTGCATTCTTATGGAAGGTCTGAGGGTGGGAAGAGAGGCCCGTGAATGGTCTAGAGTGGAAAATGAGGAGGGGGATGACGCCTTTGGTCCTACAGGAAGAAAGGAAGAAAGACGGAAGGAGGAAAACCCCCTCTCACACCTCCTCCACATTTACCCTGGCAGTCTGTACACATCAGGGGAGGAGTAGGCGGCTGTCACAGCACCCACGATGCCACCTATGATGCCAGGAATGCCATGCAGGTTGTGAATGCCACATGTGTCCTGGATGTGCAGGTGGGACTCCAGGAATGGCTAGGGGGAGGAAGGAGGGCATCACTGCTCAGGTTGTGGCTGGGTCGGGGATATGGGGAGGCCATCAAAAACACAGGGATCCAGTGTTCCCTAAGCCTCACCCCTCCCCCTGTCTCTCCTTACTATTAGGAACATAACACACACACACACACACACACACACACACACACAACATCCTCAGCCCCAGCCCTGAGGGTCCTTACCGTTAGGTAGGCAAATCCTAGGGTGCAGAAGATGCCACAGAAGAAGCCCACGATGAGGGCGCCGTAGGATGTGACCATCATCTCCGCAGCTGTGCCCATGCCCACCCCACCTGCAAGTGTGGCATTCTGGATGTACACCTGGGCAGGGTAGGCAAAGTGCGCAAGCTTTCAGTTCTGTCCCAGGAGTGTGGCCCGCGCTCGCACATTGCAAACTTGGAAGCTGGAAACAACTCGGATTCAGCAAGCCAGGAGCATGCAGAAGGGGTCAGGTTAGCCCTGAGCCCAGCTGAGTACAGCTGCTTTCTGCGCTCTGCAAGGAAGCCACCCACAACCTCCAGCAGGCCTGGACATGTTTTGTACCCACTTGTCAGGGTGCTGCTGACATGCCCAAGGACCCTAAAAAACCTATCTGCACTTTTTTTTCCCTCCATGTCTACCTGGGGGCCAATGGGCATATCTGAGTGCACGGTATGTCTACAAAAGGTATTTTCAGGCTCCATGCATGCCCAGCTGCCACCATTGTTCCTGGTAGCTGTGGTTAACAGGTGCCATGCTGCTGGCCCCTCTAAGTATGTGGGCTGGGACGACAGCCTTAAAAAGCCCAGGAAACCAGTGTTGTCAGGAGGATGAAAGCCTGGCGGAGAGGACAGCCCCAACCCTGACCAGCAACTCTGTTAGGCTGATGTGACAGTCAGCCGGCACCGGCTAATAGAGCACTTCAGGCTGCGGGGTTGAGGGGGGGGGGACAAGAACATTTGGCAGGGATGGCCCACCCTGCGTGTGCCAATCTAGAAGCTGCCTGCCACGGTGAGGTGTAGGCAGGGCCTGGCAGTCAGAGTGATGCCTCCCCCGAGAAGCCCCCGGCTCACCATGTCCAGCTTGCCCTTCTTGTGTATGACGCTGGACACAGCCACTGTGGTTAACACACTAGCCGCCAAGGAGAGGTAGGTGTTGAGGGCCGCTCGGTGCTGGGTGTCTCCGTGGGCGGAACTAGCTGAATTGAAGCTGGGCCAGTATACCCACAGGAAGAGGGTGCCTGGGTCAGAGCAGACACAGGCCAGGGGCCAGGAGAGAAGGTGTTAGGGCAGGCTCACAGGCCCAAGCCGAGGCGCTGCCTTTCACCTCCAGACGAAGCGAGCTGCTTCCGACCTCTGCGAGACACTCTCATCACCCTCGCTAGTGCTCCTTCTAGGAGGGCCCCCTGGCCTAACTCACCTAGTCCCCACGTGGCCTCCCACACCACATCACGAAGCCTCCTCTGTCCACCCGACCACCAGGACTGGTTCCATGCCGCCTACTCTTGTAGCACCATGTGGGGGAGCCTCTCCCCTCTGAAGACTGATTAGCTGGTGGGGCTACCATCTCTCAGCCTACAGGGTGATGGAAGGAAGGCCTGGGTCCGAGAGACCGCATATGTTCTCTGAAATGAAGGGATATGAGGAGTAGGAATGGACGGGGACCGAGCGGGCCAGTTTCTGAGTTCCACTCCATCTGCCGTGGGGCATTCTAGGGAACACAGAAGATGACTGACCAAATTTCTTCCAACTCCGTGAGGGAGGGACATGGACACCCAGGACTCTAGAAGTATCCTCAGGCTACTTCACTCTGCCCGTTCCTCCCCAGGAACCAGCTGTCACCCACTGATTATGTGGATCTTGGGGATGACTGTGGCAATCCTCACCAATCATGGCAGGTCTTGGCACGTTCATAGTTGTGCTCATCCATTTATAGTCGCCCCTCACCCATCCTGGTCGTTCTAATTCACCGTGGGTGTTCCTCTCATCAGTCAATGTGGTGACTGACTTGCGCTCATCACTGCGGTCTTTGGGCTATTATTCATGGTTGTTCTTACCCGTTCCTGGCAGTTCTGACCGCTCCTAGCAACTCTCACCTACTGTAGTGGCCCTCACCAATGTAGCAGCTCCCCAACCCTCCGGTGGCCCCCACCAACATGGCACCCGCCATGGCTGCCCTCACCAACGTTAGTTAGTTCTCACCAATCATGGCAAAGAGGTCCGAATGGTACACTGAGCTCTGCCTCTGCTTGCTCTGCTCCAAGTTTTTTCGGTAGAGGATCCAGGTCACTGTGAGCCCAAAGTAGGCGCCAAATGTGTGGATGGTCATAGAGCCCCCTGCATCCTTTGCCTGGAGTGCAAGGGGCCTGTCAGGGCCTGACACCCTTTTTCCCTCCTTCCGCATAGTACTCCCTACACCATACAAGTTCACACATGCTTAGCTGTCTCTGACTCTTGAGAACACAGAGCCTAGTTCCCTGACCTATTTTTAACTCTGTGTGTGTGTGTGTGTGTGTGTGTGTGTGTGTGTGTGTGTACCTTTATGTGTGGTTGGTTAGTTGGTTTTTGTTTGTTTTGTCAATTTGATATAAGCTATAGTCATCTGGGAAGAAGGACCTTCAGCTGAGAAAATACCTCCTTCCCATTGATTTGTAGGTAAGTCTGCAGGGTGTTTTCTTGGTGAGGGAGGACCCAGCTCTCTGGGGTGTTTGGTGCCAACCTTGGATAGGTAGTTCTGAGTTATATAAGCAGGCTGAGCAAGCCTTGAGAAGCAAGCCAGTAAGCAGCACTCCTCCATGACCTCTGCTTCAGTTCCTGCTTCCAGTTTCCTGCCAGGACTTCCTTACACAATGGACTATCAAGGGAGTGTAAGCAAAATAAACCTTTCCTCCCCCAACTTGCTTTTTGTCATGGTGTTTCATCACAGCAATAGAAACCCTAACTAAGGCAGTTCCCACACCAATCAATTGAGCAGAGGGAGGTAGGGATCCTTGAACCCAAGCTGCTGGCTAGTCACCAAAATGCCATGGCCCTTCTCACTTGCTCACTCCTTGGCTTGGTGGGCTTTGGGCTTTGAGTGTCTGCCGCCTAGGGGAAGTTTATGAACCACTAGGCTGTTTGTGGTGCCCTCTGCTGGGTTGCCCAGCCCTGGAGATTAGTCTTTTACTCAGGGCACACTTGGCACCTTGATGCTTGGACCCCTCTCGGAATTGTAAATTCCCAGGGGCTATACCAGTGCAGCCTGCCTGTAGCCGGTAGCGTAGCTCAGCTGCAGACTCTGAAATCTGAATATGTGTGATATGTTGGCCAGGTGCTAGGGCGGAAAGCATCCAGACATCCTGCATTATCAAACTGGACCCCGAGTGCTATGAAGAAGACAGACAAAAGCCATGTAAGAGCCCCGCGAGGCAATCTGGAAGCTAGGGCCAGGGAGGAACATCATGGAGGAAAGCCGCAGGGCCTCTCTGAAGTGACATTCAAATTGAAATGTGGATCATGAAAAGAATAAAGATGGCTGCTCTGGGCCAAGAAGACAGCAAGAGTAAGTAAATCCTTGATGGGGTCAAGTTCCATTGAATTGGAGACATAAAGAAAGTCACAGCCAAAGGACAGTCAGTGGTGACAGAGCAGAGCCTGAGCTTGGGGTGGGGGTGAGAGGAAGGCTGGGGCCAGAATTTGCAGAGCCTTAAGCCAAGTCAGATTTTGTTCTAAGTGGAATGAAAACTCCTGGTAGTCTCTAATCAAGGGAGTGATCTTCTGTGCCTTGTGAAAAGGCCAGTCTGGCCTGGCCTAGAGGAGAAAGACAGAGTCAAGCTTGGAGATGCCCAGAAGATGCTGTGCTCAGATGCCGGGCAGATGTGTTAGGCAGACAATGATTTCCCTCGGGAAGCATCATGATTCCTACTTTGCAGAGGAGGAAACGGTGATGCAGGAAGCTGAGCGACTTCCCAGGTTGCACATATCCACAGACCTCTCCTCTCCCTTTGTCTCCCTCCCCCTTCTGAGCTTGGCTCACCTCTATCAGGCTCAGGAGGATGAATTCATTCACTGTGAAGAGGATCACTTGGAAGAAGGTCATGATGAGCAGCTGGATGGGGCTGATCTTGCCTAGAACTGCCCCAAAGGCCACGCAGGTAGATGCCACACAGAAGTCAGCCTCGATGATGCTGCAGAGAGATGGACCAGGAAGGAACTGCAGCTACAGCCAGAAACGATGCTCCACGGCTTTGGGCCTCTGTGGACCGTGGCTGGTGGTTGAACCTCTCTGAGCCTCAGTTTCACTATCTATGAAAATGAGCTCATCACGGTGAGGGCCATGCCCACATAGTACCCAGCACAGCACAGCGACAGTGGGAGCCGTGCCTTCCCTCGACAGCCCCATGCCTTGTGGACAGTTTATGCTCAGGGAACCAAGTGATCTAGCTGTTGTCGGACAAGTCCTGTATTTGGAGTACAACACTGCCCTGTCTTTTACTTAACTTTTTCCAGAACTTCCTCTTATTGCCTCTGCTTGCCAGTTCCTCCAGTGCGGTCTCTGCTCCAGACCCTGAGTGCTCACTCCCCTGTCCTGCCTCTATCCACAAGGAAGAGTCACTGTCTGAAGAGACAAAAGGACCTTCCCACAGGAAGTAGAGGTCTGGAGTGGTACCGGCACGAGGGGCAGGAAGGCCCACAGAAAGGATGAGGAAAAGGAGGCACACAGGCGTCCCTTGACTGTGAACCACACAAGCTTGGCCATCCCAGCAGAGGGACCAAGGAGAGGCGGACATCTAGTGCAGCCACACAATACCTACCCCTCCAAGGGACCCTGCTTCTGTCCACCGCATGCTTTGCCTGGACTGTTGTCCCCTGCCAGCAGCAAGGCTACCCAGCATTCTCAAGCAGACTTCCAAGTGTGGCTCTTGAAGTAGTGTAGGTGCAGGGAAAAAGAAAGGGTTGCTTCCTCAAGGCTGTCGAACATCGAGGGATCCTCCTCACGTTCAGGGGTGTGTATAAAACACAGAATCATGGTCAAACAATCTAACGGAGGTCCAGTTTGTGGAATGAGGGCAGGACCTCTCCAGGGGATAGTCACAGGACATCCCTCTGCTGCTAGCCTTGTTCGTCACTGTGTCTTCGGGGTCTGGCTGAAAGGGTGATGGGCTACAGAGTATTAGTTTCATGCTCTCTTGAACCCTCACCCCCAACTACAAGAGGTGGCTACTCTCATCACCTACAATATGTTAGGAAGGCTCAGAGAGGCCCAGTGACTCACCCAAGTTCTCCAGCTGCACTCCAAAGAGCCACCTGATGGTGGTGACCTTTAGGAGGAAAAAGGGCTCTGAGAACAGAAAAGCCTGGGCTCTGTCCATCAATACCTGGAAGGTGGATTTATCTGGGTGCCTCATTATTGGGGTCTCAGGAAGGCCAGAAGGCCCACAGAGGAGAACTACCCCAGGGTGGCAGGTAAACTGAGCCAGCACAGATGTCAGGTGTAGACCCTCACCTCTGAACCCACAAGGCAAGGTCTAGAGACAACATGCTCATCCCAGCCTTGGACTGCAGACATCAGCTCCAGGCCAGTAGCTGGAGTCTAATTCCACAAAGCCAATTTGCCCAAATTCTATTTATCAAGTGACCAGCTTGCTGAATAAGTAGTTCACCTCAAAATTGCTAAGTCAGAGTTTGTAACCACTATTTTGAAAAAGGAAAAAAAAAACAACCCACTTTTTTTTAATGGTTACTTTTTTATGTGACTTGGCCATTCTGCCATGGAGGTTAATTAGATATATAACAGGTATATACGTACTTTAGGCCCACGGCATTGGGAATATTTTGTGCACTTTGAACTTCTGGGAGGTGTGCATGTCACAGGTTTTATTTAGGGCAGTTTGTCAGGCCGACTGTCTGTCTTCCCTCCTGTTCCTTTTGTGTGTCCTTAACTGGCTTGAGTGACTGGTCTTTTACACAAGTTTTAATTTTCAAACATCTGGCCGATAACATGGGACTGGTACTCTACTTGTGACAGCAGATGCGGTGGTTTGAGTGAGAAATGTGCCCCGTATGTTCAGTCATTTGAACAACTGGTCCTCAGTTGGTGATAGCGTTTAGGGAAGTTAGGAGGTGTGGCCTAATGGAGGGAGACGGAGGAAACTCATCACTGGAACACATCATGGCGGGGAGGGGGGGCTTTGAATGTATTCAGTCTTCACCCTACTTCTCTGCTCGTGGTTGAGGATGTGGTCTTTCTCCTGATCCTACTGCCTGCCAAGCCTGCTGTATGCCTCCCTGTCATGATGGGTTCCTGGAATCAAAAGCCCAAATGAACCCTTCCTTCTCCAGGTCATTTTCGGTCATGGTTTTTTTATCACGGCAGCAGAGAAGTAACTAATTCCGGCAGAGGTTTGCCCCCTGCAAAGGCCTTTCTCAGTTTGCTCCTAAACTGTGGGCTTGATGAGCCGGAATTTCTAGCGAAGCTGACAACTTACTCAAATTCAGAGCTTTCCCCCCTTTAAGCCAAACCTCTCTTATGTCTGCATGAGGAGAAGGCCATCTGAGTGGACTCGGCGAAGAGCCTGCCTTCACCTAAAACCTGTCTCAAACTGGGAGATGCCCTCCACCGTCTGGTCCCACGCAGCATCGACAGCTGCAGTTCCAGAGGCCACAGTGCGATAGAACAACTCTGCCTGTTTTCTTATGACAAGCTGGTTTGGGGAAATTTCTTTTCCAGCCTGTGGTGAGATGGGGAGGCTCAGAGAAGGCAGCTTCGCAACAGAGGAGAGTGAGGTTACCTTGTAGGAAAGGGCTGGTGACACTCATCAAACTGAGAAGTTATCACAGATGTTGTTTAGAAGGGGGGGGGGGGGGGGAGATGAGAAGAGGTTGGTCCCGGACTCTGGGAGGCCAGTCCAGAAGGCTTCAACTGGGAGCCTGCACACACACACACACCAGCCTTCCAGCTCTTTTCCCTGCCCATTCTGCCCACAAGAGAGGTGGAGGGCAAGGGCTCCATTTGGCTGAGTTCCCCATTTCTGCGTTCTCCTAGCAAGGAGCCTTCTGATGCTGGCTTAGGAAGCTGGGCCTGCCTCCTGAGTCCCTGGGGTTGGACTGTCTCAGAGCCCTGAAGAAGGGCTTGGACCTTCCTCTTCTGGAGAAAAGAGTGTCCTTCATCGTGGGAAGAGAGACCCTCCCACAGGACCTGAGCAACACTACAGCCTCCATCCTGGAAAGCTGCTGGTGAGCAAACTCTGTTTGTGGAGCCTCTGCAGGTGGCCATCACTGGCCAACAAGGCACCTTGTCCCAAACCCTCCGAAGCCACGCCTTTCCCCATCACTTGCCTGCTCCCTGTCCCTGCCCACTCCCTTTCTCATCTCTCGCCCATCACCCCTCCCTTACCGCACCCTCACCACCACAGCGTTAGGCCCCGCCTTACCCAGTTTTTCTTTCCCACCTAACGGGCAGAGTCATCTCTACCACCACAGACCCCCCCAACCCGGCACCTGAGCCACGCCCGCACCCAGGACGCACCCCCAATCAAGTTGGTCCCGCCCCCAGCCTAACCCCACTCCCAGCCCATCTGCTCCCCTTCCCCTCCAGGGCCCGACCCACCACCCTGGGCCCCGCCCATCCCATTCCGCCCCGCCCCTCCTTCCCGGCTCACTTCTCAATGCCCAGGAGAATGCGGCCTTTGGAGAAGAACCTGAACCAGCCCTGCGTGAGCAGGGCCCACTGGATGCCGAAAGCGACCAGCAGGAAGTTGAAGCCTACAGCGCTGAACCCGTACCGCTGCAGGAAGGTCATGAGGAAGCCGAAGCCCACGAAGACCATGGCGTTCACGTCCTGGAAGCCTGCCGGAGAGTGCGGTTGAAGGTCTTTGCAGCCTAGAGAGGGTCCACCTCGGCTTGAAGATTGACAGGTCAGCCCAGCCTAGGACAGCGCCTCTATTTCCAGACACTGTGACAGAACCTGGAGCCCTGACTCCCTGTTTCCCTCATCCTTGCTCCCTTTCCCCTTGCAACCAGACTACAGCGGGGTGGCAGTAACAAGGGGCCTCTTGCTTGGCGCTACCACTACCTCCTTCTTAAAGCTCTCTGGAGGGAGCCGGGGGACTTGGGATGGGTCTCCAGGCTGGACAACTGGGTTGTAGGGTCAAAAGATGCCTAAGAGCACAGAGATGACGCTTTTCTGGTTCCCCCTCCATTCAGATGGCACTGCTGGTCTACACGGATGGGCAACTAAGCCTTTGACTCGCTTATACCACCGCTCCCGCTCCCTCTCTCAGTGCTGACTGTCCAGTCCAGAGCCTTCACTCATATGCTTTACCACTAAGCTTATTACCACAGGCCCTGGGCAATTGAATTTGAGGCCAAGCTATAGTCAGGGTCCAGAGTCTAGAGCACAGATCATCTGAGGCAATATAGTCTCGCTCCCTCCACGGGAACATTTTCCTCAGAGGAGAATCAATGCTTGATGAATCAACAGGGCTGTGACAGGCCAAGCATAATTGCACACACCTATTCATGTCCACATCCCCATCACCGCCTCCACCAAATGGCTCCCTCCAACCATGCAGTGGGAGGAGTTATCCGCCCCCCTCCCCTCCACCAAACGCACTTCCTCAAGTGGAACACCAATGTTTCATCTTCTGGATGGATGGCTGTTAACAAAACAGACTTGGGCTCAACACCTTTTATAACCCTGCCTCACAGATGTTGCCGAGGTTAAATACAGATGTGTATGCAAAGTTCTTGGCATAGTGTGTACCCATAGCAGGTGACCCAAGTGGGCATCTGTCTTATTTATTTCTACGCAAGCGTTGGCTCTGTTTCCAAGTTTGACCAGCCTTCTAAATCCCAGCGCCCCCAGCAAGCCACCTCACCACTCTGAGCTTCAGGTTTCTAATAAAACTGAAGGGATAAGCTAGAATGATCTAAACTGCTCTCCCAGCACTAACAGTGCTTGCTTTTAGAGCCTAAGAAAACAAGAGAAGGCAAAGAGCCTTGACTAATGAAAACTCGAGTGTACTGGCACACACCTTTAGCCCTAGCACTTCGGAGGCAGAGTTAAGTGGATCTCTGTAGGTTCGAGGCCACCTTGGTTTACAGAGTGAGTTGCGGAACAGCCAGAACTACGTAATGGGATCCTTTCTCAAAAATAAATAAACAAAAACAAAATGAAATTTAAAAAAAAACAAAACCCGAACCCCATCAGGTGAAGAGCTAAATGTAAAGGTAACTTTTATTCGCCTGGTTCAATTGCTGTCTGGAAGGCTTCCTGCCTCTGTCTGCTAACCTAAGATCTAGTCCTGGAAGCTTCTAGCCTCCATAAGATCTAATCTGGGCCTAGAATGTTTTCAGCCTCTGAGACTTACTGCTCATTGCACCTAATAGATATATAAGACACAAAGGGACTGTGAATGGCGTGGGCTACAAAGAGCCAGACAGAAGGGCTCCCATTGGCCTCATCTGGGCAATTTAAGCACCAAAATAATGGTTTCTCATAATAAGTTGCAACCATTTAGATACAGGAATTCATGAGCCCATGCTGACAAATAGATACATAAAAATGGACAGGGTAGCGAAGAGGGCCCTTGGCCGCAGTGGAATGCTGAGGACTCTGCTTAAAATCTGGGTAGAGTTGAAGATTTAAAAAAGTCATCGCTTTCACAGCAACGGCTCAATAAGTGACGCTAAATCAGAGGGAAATTCCAAGAAGAGCAGGGCTTTTGGACTGTCTTCAAGGTTCTGCCAATAAATGACTCATTGCTCTCAAGGGAGGGACAAACGATTGTAATGGCACAGAGGAAAAATGAGGTTTACAGATCGACTGGGGGAACCCAAATGAACATGTCCAACGGTGGCAGAAGGACAGTGCGTGCCTCCAGATGGGGCAGCCTATAAAGGACGTGTCACCTCGTATCCCCCATAGGGTGCTCTCCCTGAGACTGTAGGGCCCAATTTAATAATGAAAAACAACTGGGACACAAAAATAACGAGTCTTTCATTAAAAGGGGTTGAGGCAGACACAGAGCACAAGGGCACTTGCCTGTCAGCCCAGCCCTTGAGAGTCTGGGGCAGGAGGATTACAAATTCGAGGCCAGCTTGTGCCGCATAGTAAGACCTTGACTCAAAAAAAAACGAAACAAAGCAAAGCAGAGCAGAGCCAAGCCAAGCCGAGCCATGGTGCTTAAGCTGTACTCTTGAATATTACCCAAGAAAAGCTTTGTTTGTTTGTTTGTTTTAATGTTCCACATTAGAAGATAGGCCAGTTACACTCAATACCTGCATCAGCCCTGGATTTGGCAGAAGAAGTATGGGGGAGAGCTAACATGATTATTGGGTCAGCTGAAAGAAGTAGGTATTAATGGTGGATTAAGGTTCCCCGCCCTCACGGATGGAGAAAGCTGAATATTGTCATTTCAGAAGCAAACACCCCTGTTCTTAGCAAACATGCTGGGGTGTGCCAGGGAGGAAGGCTATGTAACTGCCCCTCCATGTGATGTGATGTGATGTGATGTGATGTGATGTGATGTGATGTGAT